AAATAATTTTTGTATGTTATTTTATATGTTATTTTAATATTGTAAAATTAATATTGCTCTCCTTTACATGTCAGAATATGGTAGTTGACTTTGTGCAGTTGGTAATGTTCAACCTTGCCGCAACTCCAACCCGCGACTCAAACCCGACTCTAACCTGATTTGGACCCTCGATGGAAACGTAGTCTAGACTACAAAACAAGAAGTAGGTTGTGAGGCAATACCGAATTGGCGCTGAAAAACTTCGGGAGTTTTCTGAACACAGTCTATTAAATCAACAGAATGAAATGTCTTGATATACACGCGACGTCCTAAGTAACAATTATATTGTTTCGAAATTATTATTGCGGATTTTAAAATGTATAATATAGTTTTTCGATGCATTGTCAGTGCTACAGTCAAATTATATTCTAACACTGTTGTTCAACCATTACAATATAAATATGTATTTGAGGAATTCAAGTTTTCTGTACCAAAATATTCAATATTACCACGAGGTTTTTGTACAAACAAATCATATTTAATTCAGCAAGAATATGATAAGAAGTTTGAGGAAGAATTAAATGAATACCTGAAGGATCCTCAGAATGCAGCAAACTTTGAAAAATGTCAATTAGAAGTGGAATATCTTCGAAGTTCAGTAGATAGAGTACCCAAATCTTTAAAAGCACAAAATTGGTTACATTTACTTAAATCAAATTTCAGAGGGCAAAGAAGGTTGTATCTTGAATTAATTTCAAATCATGAAATTATTTAACAAATTTTATTTTGGTAACATAATTCTTTTTATATTACAGGGCATATCTAGCATATCTTTGGCAAATAGAAAAAAAAGAGGAAAATAGAATTTTAAAAAAAGAACAGAGAAAGAAATTAATTATAGAAAAAAGAAATGCAGAAACTAGTGAAAATAAATATAAATTGAGTTATAATACGATGTTTCATCGTATACGTGAGCAAGCAATAATGCAGTTCTATAATGGTAGATTAATAAATGCTATGTTATGGGCTCCGACGATAGTGTTTGATCTTGGATATGATGAGTATATGACACAAAATGAAAAACAGCAATGTGCAAAACAATTATTGTATGCATTTTCACAAAATCGATTGCATGATGATCCTTGCAACCTTTACTTTTGTAATACTGATCTAAATAGTATAACTATGAAACAATTACATAAAACAATACCAACATTATATGATGCAGATTTTCCATTAAATATTACTACAAAATCTTATTTAGACATATTTGATAAATCCAAATTAGTATATCTTACTCCACATACCAGAAAAGTTTTGACACATTATGATGCTGATGCTATTTATATAATTGGGGCTATGATAGATAAGGTAATTACTATTTCATTTTTATATATATATATACATAATTTTTGTATTTAAAATGTAATTAGTTACCCTTTTGCACCATTCAAGTATAAGTGACTCAAAATAGGAATTTAATATTTAGTAATTTTGAAACAACTCTTTGAATAATACATTTATTAGTTCAAATATTATTTAATTCTATTTCTCATGAAGCATATGAATAAAGTTATTGAAACTTAATAAAAATTTGAATGGTTCATAATGGTTGATAATGTGAAAATTATGTATCCATATAATTTATTTTATTTTATACATATTTTAACAATTGTAGACAAATCATGAACCATTGTCAATGCAAAAAGCTAGAAGAGAAGGTATTAAAATGGTTAAATTCCCCTTAAGTGAGAAATTACCATGGGGGACAGGATCTATAAAAAATCTCCCACTGAATCAAGTACTTTCTATACTGTTAGATTTAAGGGTAACAAATAATTGGGAAATAGCACTACAGCACATACCTAGAAGAAAGCTTAAGGAAAATAGACTAAAATCCTTAGAGAGGCAAGTAAGGAAGAGAGAAGAGTTAATATCCTCTCTTTTGCAGAATGTATAATGTTTTATCAGCGAGAATATTTATAACTTCAAATAAAATCTTAAGTATACATTAAAAAGTGAATTTTGTTAAACCATATACAATTTATGTAGATGTAAGTATATTTATTTATTTTATTAATTTAGGTATTGAACAATCTTTATGAAGTTTCTAAATTGAAAAATATGCTTCTCCGTGAAACATACAAATTTGGCTAACAATATTAATTAATAAATATATTATATTAATTATAAAGTTCATGATAGATTATACTATACTGAAAAGAAAAATTTATTAAAAAGATGAAATTATATTTACATATAAACATTTTCTTATAATATACTGTACATTTATTATAGAGATAGTGTATGTTATTAAATCATAAATGAAAGAAGTATATTTTTTCTAATATAAAAAGCTATTGTAAATATACATATATTCCTGAAATTATATTTCACATATATTTATACGTATAAATTATGTTACAGTCTTGATCTTATGTATAAGCAATATAAAATTAACTTCTTGAACTTTAAATCTTAAATTCAAAATGTATTAATGGTTTCGAATAGAAATCAATGAAATATTCACTATATATCAGAATTGGTTACTTGAAAACTTCTTTTAATGGAAACGCGTGGATATTGTTGGCGCCATTCTTGTATCAAAAAATCATTAATACCTTCGCAAAAACTGAGATCAATCATTTCCAATCTTGGACAAAATAATAAAAACCTGTAACATATTTCGGGTGTAAGAGAACGGGCTCCTAATAGATCCAATTGTTGCAGTCGTTTACATAGAAAGAGCGGTTCTAAGTCACGATCCGTTAATCCTCTAAGAGCTGCTAAAAATACTTTTTCCAAGTACCGACATGAAAACAATAATGCTCGTAAAGAATCGCCAGGAGCACCCATTCCACCGCTATGGACACATATAGTCATTAAAAAGTATTAAATCACTTCTATTTGTATGAAAGAATAAAACAAATATTTTTTCAGACAACATACCACCATCCAAAATCCACTTCGCGAAGATTGGTACATTGAGACAGAGCTTTAACTCCATGTGGAGTTAAAGTTTGTGCTTTCCAAAAATCTACACTTTCCAAATATGGGCAAGAATTTCCTAATTCAACTGCAACTTCATCTATGTTTAAACGATCATGCATCCCTGCTAAATTCAAATGTCTCATCTGGGTATTTTTCTTTAAAATAGAACATAGTGTAGAAGTTTCAATACATGTCCTATAGAGTTCTAAACGTTCAAGGAATTTCAAGTTTTCAAGATATGAGAATCCTTCGTTTGTTACACCCATGCAATTGCGTAAACATAATTCTAAATAATACATTATACTTATGATCAATAATTTAAACACTTAAAAAGATACATTTACAGTAATATTTGCATTTACCTTTTAAGTTTTTACAGACTTTTGAAATTTCAAATATAACTTCATCATTTACAAATTGACAACAGTTTAATCTTAAATGTGTCAAAAGAGTTCCAGACATGTGAAGAAAATGTATAAATTCTTGATATTTAATCAAATTATAGTTTCCACACCAAGAAAAATCTAACTGTTGAAGATAGTGACATCTAGGTGCTAAACAATTTAATGCAGATGTATCTAAACAATACCAGTAAGGTTTCAAATTAAGACTTGTATACAATAAAGCATCTCTTGCAATATTATTAAAATGTCTATTTACTCTACATAAACGACATAATGATTTTAAGTCTAAATTGTTTAATATCTTTAGTACTGTTTCATCCTGTAAAAATAAATAAAAAGTAAAGCATTGTTACTTAAAAAAGAAAATTTACATATTCTAAAGAATAATGAAATGTGATATTTTACTGGAAGTGCTGAAAAACTACCACATGGTTGATTGTTTGAATCATTTAGAGGTAACAAAAATCTTTCTTTAGCAGAATTACTTTCTTCATTTAATGTATGTGACAATGAATGATTAATGTCTTTAATAAGTTTTGGAAAATCTTCTTGTAAAAATTGCTGCAAACTATTAAATGCTTCTTCTATTGGAGGAACAGATTGATAATGTTGTCCTATTTTAGATATTAATTTGCCCTTAGACATATTATCTATAACTTTACTGAAAAAAAAATATTCATTTTATTATTCCAGCATTACTATAAAATACTAATATTCATTTACCTTTTAAAAAGTCTACAATGCTTAGAAAGCACTTTTTTAATGATCGTTAAATCTTGATTTGCCTTTAAATAATCAGATGTTAGATTATACATATCATCATTACTTTGTTTAAGATAACCCAATTCTTGTGAAAGATCGTTTAAATTCTGAATATGTAAATTGTTAGGTACAATTAATTCTGATGTTCCAATAAGTAACACAGCATCCAATTCAGTGTAATAGTCTAATAAATTGTGATTAAATTCCAGTCTTATCATTTTTGTTTTAAAATTGCATGATTGTAAATATGGAGAAAATATTCTTGGCTTATGTGGTACAACTTGAGGAAATCCACTCCATAATTGAAACCATTTGCCTCCTGAATTTTGAGCCCAAATTCCAACTATGCTTCCAGGATTGTAAGTTTCATATATTGATATTCTAATTGGATATACTTCTTGATAATATTCTAGATCTTTTTGATATGAAAAAAAATATTTTAATTTGTTTACATATATTAACCATTTGTAAGCAAATTTTTTCTCTATAATAATATACAATCATTTGTCACATTAAATGTTTAAGATTTTTTTTCAATAAAAATAAAAATTCAAAGTAAAATTAAATTTCACTTGTAGCTGGCCAATGACCCAGATTGCCAACAAAGGGTTAAAAAATTAAAACAAAATATTAATAGTTAATATTACATAATATGTACCTATGTAATCTTGACTAATAACATCCACATTATTCTGTGGCATATAATCCATTAATCTTGAAGGTGCTTTGTCCCACCATTGTCCATATGTTCTCTGTAATAATAAATCACTTTTTGTTTATTAAAGTTGTAAGATGTATATTATTTTGATTAATACCAATTATGGTTTTATTTTTACATTAAAAATTTGCAACAAATAAATTATATAAATTATATTTTACGAATAAAATATAATATCCAAATGAAAAAAATTTAAATGTTTATAAAAATTTATATGCAAAATAGTTCAAATTACTGATAAACACTATATTAAATTTTGGTTTCATACTAAATTGTCACTTGGGTTTACTTTTAGTATTTTATTTTACAAAAATTAACATACATACCATAACAAAAGCTTGCGGAAAATCTCCATAATCAGGAAATTTACTGGGATTTCCAGCAATATTGTATGCAGTATATGAAATACTAATATTACTTCCATACTGGGAACTGAAATCGCACACATCTTTAACAAATTGCTCTACAAACGTTACGGTTTCTTCTTTGTCATCAATTTTTTCTCCATTTATTGATACTACTTCTACTTTTATTTCGTCATGTGATATCATGTCATTTACAATTTAAATCGAGAATGTTAACCTCAAGTAGTAATAGGTTAACGAATTCACTAAATTTTTATAAGCTTATAATTTCATATGTGTTAAAAAGTTACCGAAATGTTAAATGATTGGACAATTAATTTCATATAGAAAAGTAAATCTTCGTATCGTTTTCCTTCTGATACTACAAACGTATGTGTGACAACTTTTCCAGTTTTTCACTCATGCAGACTGGTGCAGACGAACGTTTGGTTAGAAGCTTTTAAAATATGTATTTATACAGACTGGGTGAGCGTTCGCAAACGGGTAGATAAAAAGCATAAGTTTATTCATTGGCGTACATCTAACTTAAACTATTATACGATGGACACCAATATCCATATTTATGTTTATTATAGTCTGAACAATGATTCAACAGTACAACATATTTGTTGATCGATCAATTTTCGATTGTTGCGTATTTTGACACTGATTGGTTCATGCACGTTTAGTGTATGGCAGCAATGCGTTTATGATGTTTATGACACTGAGAGTAATATATCCAGTGATCTTTTTATTTTGTATGTTTCTTATATTGTTATAAGTTCTTTTTCTTTTTCATATATTAGTGAAACGCTCCGTGTTATGCATGGAGAATTATGACTTTGCTCACCATCCACTCCAAACTTCAATTCCATGATATTAAATCCCCTGTGCAGTCTTAAACCGTAAAAGATAGACATGCACAGTAATTTTTTTACAAAAAGGATTAATGCAGAAAAGCTAAATGGAGCACTCTTAATGAAGAGGTAATTAGTTTTTAAATTGGAGCAATTTTGATTTTTCTGTGGCGTACTTGCTCAGTGGGAGAGAATAAATTAGACTGTTTTACGATTATCCGGAGACTTTTATTCGACACCTCTGTACACGACGCATGCTCGTTTTATTCTATTGTTTTTTTCCGACTTTTTGAGAAGGTTGGGGGCGCACCGTCTTTTACCAAGCTTACCAACTACTATATACTGTTGCGATTCTTCTTGTTGAATTTAGGGATTTTGTTGGCGAGGTTCAATTCTCAAGAAGCGCTTGGGCGCTTGGTTTAATTCCGCGATTTAATCAAACAACAAAAAGGAAAAATAAATAAACTAATTGGAACTTGAAATGAATTAAATAAACTAAACAACTAAATTAAACTTTTTGAACTTCTTTAATAAACTTTAACAAAGATTAACTTTTAAACTAATTTAAATGAAACTGAATTAACAAAACGAATTTTAATATATTGCTCTACTAAGTGAAGAATACGTGCGTTACTTTCTAGCTCTGAGAATTGAATTGAATAAATCAGATTTCTAATTGAAAATCAAGGATAATTATGAATTTGTAATAATTATCTAATTTGACTTATTAGATAAGAGTTTTTACAAGTAGTCTTTGATTTCAGCTTACAATTTATCAAATACACTCTGTGTTCTTCTTCAACTGCACCTTTTTACAATCTAAATTTTGCGCGTTTAAAGTTACATATTTTGTCGCTAGATGGAGCCGCTTTTACATTATGTGTGGTGATCATCAGAGTCATCGTCGATCAAGAAGAATTTCATTTTCAAGCCATCGATAAAGAAGATTTCTATTTATATTTGACATTCAATTTTATTGTTCAATTGTATATTTTAAAAAGAAAAACGTTCGCTATTCATTCCTTAATCAAATTTAAATTCAGCAACGCGCATTTCAAAATCAATATCAATAAATCAGTTATTTTTGAAGTTTTAATCTATTAACTAATTTTAAATATAGAGACGCATTCTCTATATATGTTTCGCTTCTTCTATGTTCATACAGAATTAAATTAGCAACGAATCCCAGCATACAACAATACAAAACTTACAAACTAGTGACTATAAGGAAAACTTAACTTAACTAAAACTAGATGGCGCGACTATACATTTCTGGGCGACTCTGGTCGCTACATTTCGAAAACAAGTGGCGCCATCTGTCCGGCGAACAGGCTGAACTATACTCGACGGGAACACGGCTTTCATCAATTCGCGTATTCCACCGCTAGGTGACGCTACATGTACCGTATATGTGGCGACACCTACTTCCGCTCAACCATCCCGCCGAAGGGTGCATTTTTCTCCCGCGTAATTTTTCTATTTTTTCTGGAAGGGGTTTTCCCTCGGGGAGAGAAACTTACTTCCCTGGAAAGCGTGCTTGCTAGTAGACATGTCGCATCGCAAAGTTTATATTTAATCCTGAACCATTTTTGTATTTATCTGTGCAATAGTGAATTAATAAGAATATTATATTGTCGACATTATAAACAATTAAGACAATTTTAAATAAACTCTTTTCAACCTCTTTTTATTTATAAATCAAGTGAATATTTTTATTTGATTACCTTTAGTCGATAAAGTGGGAGTCCTGCTTTGATAAAGGCCTCCATATATACACTACCGCTCAAAAGTATGTGGACACTTACATTTTTTTGAATTTCAGATACATATTATGTTTTTATTGTTAAGCAAAATCGTTCATAAATTCTAGTATTAATATGAATGTGATGTATTATAATATTACGAAATTATCAATTTATTTATTCAACTTTCTGAAATAAATATATGTGTTATTTTGCGTTGCGCGCGTAGAGTTTGTGGGTCTTTTCTCTGGCAGTTTGCAATGATTGCATCGCTTAAGTGAGGTCTGTTGCCTTCTCAAGACTAATGTAAACATTTGTAAACATGATTATATAGCCAGGATGCCACGAAAATGCGAAAATTACATCACGCGGTGGATATGTTAACGAAAGGTAAATTTAAACATATTTCATCACTATCGGTAAAATATTTAACAAATTATTATTACAATATGTTGTCTAACACTGGAGGAAGTGGAATATACTGGAGGAAGTGGAATATATACACGATAAACAAATAATTCAAAGATATCACAATGTTTTCGGGCATCTAAAAAAATTGAAGAAGTGTCCACATACTTTTGAGCGGTAGTGTACATAGGAATTGCCTTCTTATATCATCATATTATACCACAGAATCATGTCCGAAAGTTGCGCTGAGACGTTGTACGCATGCCCGAAAACAAAGCAGAAAAATATTCTATAGTACTCTTACAATGATAGTACAGTAAAACCCTTCTTAAGGAACACCCTTTAAGGGATACATAAAAACTAATTGCATCATCATTGTGGGTGTTTCGGCTACTTTTTCTTTGATTACTTGCTTTGTCAAAAATTTACTGCGCATGTCTATCTCTTACGGTTTAAGACTGCGCAGGGGGTCAAGGTTAACTGATTAATTTTCCGTGCATAGCGAGGGTGTTCTACAAGTTAATAATTAAATGATTAAACAACAAGTTATGTACTATATGAAAAGTGGCGAAAATAAAGAAAAATTGATCAACAATCATTGTGTATTTATTGTCACCTAACAAACCCAACAGCAAAATTTCCATATTCGAAAGACAGAATTTGTATCAAGAGAACATGAGAATTTCTGGAAGTTGATGTCGCCAAAATTCCAAGAAATAGCATGATAGATACTTCTTCATAATTTATGTTCTCCTGATACAAATTTTCAAAATCGGTTGCTGGAATTTCAAAAATTGCGCCTTAGGAATTCTGCAAGCGGCACGTAGGATACCTCCTCAGAACTTATGTTCTTCTGATACAAATTTTCAAAAATCGCGCCCTGGGAATTCTGGAAATGACGTCCACAAAATTTTAGGAAGTGGCACGAAGGGTACCTCCTCACAACTTATGTTCTCCTGATACAGTATCGATTCGTAATAAGCAACTTGCTTGGGTCTGCCGAGTTGCTTGTTACGAATCAGGTATACTATTCCGCTTGTTTTTGTTCCCGAGCGCGACAACGGTAGTGGTAAATTATGACTACGTTTCCATCGAGGGTCCAAATCGGGTCAGAGTTGGGTTAGAGTCGGGTTAGAGTTAAGTTGCCTTGCCTGTTTCCATCGGATCAGAGTTACGTTGGGGTTGGAGTTGGGTTGAACATTACCAACTGCACAAAATCAACTACCATATTCTGACATGTAAAGCTGAGCAATATTAATTTTACAATATCAAAATAGCATACAAAAATTATTTCTCAGATTACAAGATCACCGACAAAAAGTAATAATAACCTCTTCTACACCGATTAATACAGCACGTGATATACAATGCAATTTGGATTTGTTATGTTGGCAATACAAACTCGACTTTTGTCGTTTCCACCGCACCTCAACTGAACGCTACCCTAAAATTTTGTAGGGTAGAGTTCAACTAAACCTTTGGCGTTTCCACTGTAAAAGCGCTGACCCCAACCCGACTCTAACCCGACTCTGACCCGATTTGGACCCTCGATGGAAACGTAGTCAATAAAGTAATCGGTGGAGGAACGATGTTATTCTTTAGACAAGGACAGAACATAACATTCTTTCTCTTTTTAATACTAGTAGAATTTCCCGAATGGAACATGTCTATGTATAATATACTGGATTCGTAACAAGCAACTGGCCAGACCTGAGCGAGTGGCTTATTACGAATCAATGTAGAATTAGATGAATGGACGACAGAATCGCTATGCATCAGAGTGAGAAAACAATATATATGTTCTGTCCTCTTTCCACTAAACTGTTCGGTCGATCGTAAAAATTTATGACCTCTTCGGTTTCGCGGACCTCTCACTCTTTCTCGGACCTCTCACTCAGCAGCCGATTTCAAATAAAGAAGAGGGGATAGAAATTTGCTTGTTACGAATCAGTACTGCACATGTTCCTATGCATATTTATTTTCCAACACTTTTGTACATCAAATGACTTAATATATTTTATTAGTAGATAGATACATTATTAATATTTAATTCTAGGACAGAATTATCATAATAGTACGTACATATTAATGTGCGCTGTAGTACAGGATCTTGTAGAAAACTAATAAAAATCTGTTGAGAGAATAAAGATAATGTAGCAATTAATTTGCTTCTAAAATTTAAAGAAAACTGTCAGTTATGGAAGCAAATGTGATGAATACATAAATTGGACGATTGCTTTCTTGCGCTGTATTAAATGTCGTTCACATTAGGCTACTTTGACATGTGCTGGCCTAATCTGAACGCCCCCTTAGGCAGGTCTGACGCAGCGTCATCTAGCAGTGATACGTGGAACTTCAACAGAAATTTCGCTGATGGTATATTACCGTTGAATTGTAATCAATTAATTACCGACAGAATCCGGTCGGTAAATTAAACGTGTTCATCATAGTTCAGCAGCTTGTTGTTAGGTGGTGCTTAACAGCATTTTATGGTGACCATCGGAGTCGTCGTCGATCAAGAGGAATTCTATTTTCAAGCCGTCAATAAAGAAGAATTTTACTTGTATTTGATATTCAATTTTACTTATGTCCAATTGCATTTTAAAAAGCAAATCGTTCGTTATTCATTCCATATTCATTCCATAATCAAATCTGAAATCGTTCGTTATTCATTCCATAATCAAATCTGAATTCAAAACGACATATTTCAAAATCAATTTCAATAAATCAGTTATTTTTGAAAGTTATAATTAATTGACTACTTTAAATATAGAAAAACATTCTCTATAGAAATATAGGGTTTGTCTCCCTATATTTTAATAATCAATAAATAATAACTTTACAAAATAACTGATTTTATTGAAATTGATTCTGAATTTTATTTAAATACGTGCTCTTGAATTCAGGTTTGATTACAGAATCAATAGCTAACGATTCTGCATTTTTTAAAATTGAACACGACGAAACGACGACAGCTTTAAACATTAATAATTTGTCAACAAGTACAAATAGAATTCTTCATGATCGACGGCTTCGATAACAGAAGTCTTCTTGACCGACAATTCTGATGATCACCACAGAAAACTAAAAATTGCTCCAATTCGATTATAAATAATCACAAAAAATTACATAAAAATAAATTTGAATACAACAAGAACAGTTTGAACGCTATATTGTATCTCGTCGATGATATAGAATATAGAGAATGAGCTCATTTGAGATCAAAGTTTTAATAAATATATACGATACGTACATAAAAGAAAATGTAATAAATGAAACGATAATTTAATGGTAAATCGTAGCTCTTAGCTCGATATCGTTTTCTAAAGTTAA